TCCATAAAATAAAACTAAAAAATTCACACATTCCAATTTTCCTAATGATATCTTAAGTAATTAATCTTACGGTCAACTTTCAGCGACATGAAAAACTCTCTTATGATCGAGTCTTCCAACAAATTCATGAAGAGCAAGTAAAATGACATGTTCTCATCAATTTTTGGAGTATCTTCCAGAATTCTCATAACCTGCTGAATAGAAGTTGCATGTGACCCACTAGACTCAATGGTGCTTGAAGCCACCAATTGGGAGATCTGACTTCTGATGAAAGGAGGTGGGATGTTTGAATCAACTAGTAGATCCTAATTTATGTTGCTTGGGGTCTTCGATTCTAATTGCTCAGATCGTGATCCCCCCTCCCTCGCTCGGTGCATATGCTTGCACCCTTGCGACCACCACTCCACCAAACATACGATCCAACTTATCTTCAAGCTCAGGGTCAATGCCACTAAATTTGATTTTTTTCGCACCTGGTACCACCTACAAATAAATTAATAAGTCTTTAGATTGATCAATGAAAATGTTGTAACTTTAAAATGATTTTACATTTAAAATATTCTCACATCCAATCTTTTAGTCCACCATTATTCAGAAGCATCAATATTTTTTCTTTATAGGATCTCGACCCAAGCATGTGGATCTTTGTTTTAACTCTTTCCATATTTTTGAGTTCTTTTTCAATTGATCTTATTTGTTCTTAAATTGCATTCTTTCATATTTTCTCCCGTGCTTTCTTTAGATTTATTGTATTATGTTATACCAACCTTTCTTATTAAAATAGGTGGTTGGCCTATTTCCCAACTCAACCTCTTTGACACAGAGGTCACAGAATATTATTGTCATCTCTTTATTCCAGGTAGTAAACGAATCATTTTTTTTACCTTGCAGGTAGTAAACGAATCGTTTTTTTTACCTTGCCCAATACAACAACCAGCATGCAAAGAACTAACGAACATAAATTCATTGGAGATAAAAAAAAAAGTAAGAAACATAAAAATTTGTAACGCCACCACCGCACCATAACCTCCACATCACCTACCTTCACAACACACCACTACCTCCACATAAGCTACAACCAACATCAATAGCACACCACCACCATATCACTAAAAACCAACACCAGCATTACACGACAACTTCCACAGCACACCATCTCCTCCAATCCACATGCCACCAACCACCAACATGAATAACACTCCACCACTCCACCACTCCACCACTCCACCACTCCACCACCTCCACAATCACACACCACCACAACCACACCAAACCCTAAACCCTATAACACCACATCCATACCAGACATCAACAAATCCACATACGTGATACCACCACATCCACAACACACAACACCTCTACACCACATCACTGCCCGCACACCGCCTCCAAACCACACACCATCACCTCAACACCACACATCACCACTTCCAAATCACACCACAAAATCCATCATTTAGGGAAACCTCAGCAAAATCGTCACCGCTACCAATTAGGGCAGTATAACACAACCACATAACCCATTTGTATTCAATTAATTTCCATATACAACCACCACCACCACCAAATTTCGGGCAACAACGAACATCACAACACAACCATCCAATTTCATCAACCGAATAACGAACAGGGAACAAAGACAATCAAACCAAAAATATAACGGAGAGTCCAATAAAATTGCAAAATCCAACAAAGCAATCCAACCACCTAAATCCATCAACCGAGTAGAGCGCCAAAAACCGAAATCCATCAATTGAAATCCACCCAAACTCAAACATAATAGCACGACAAACCAAAAACATCATAACACAACAAAGAACTGAAATTTTCAGCTGTAAATCAAAATGCCTTAATAGAAGGTCGTAGATAATATCATGGGGGCAACGTAGATCCAATGATCCAAACCCAGCCGAAGAATAGAGGGGTGAGGGAGAGGTATCGGGAAAGGCAAACTCACTGCAAAAATCACCAACTACTAATTCAGACTGAGCTGATGAACAAAGGTGAAAGGGAGAGGAGAAGAGAAAGTAACCAAATCCTTGCCCAGATTGAAGAGGATCGAGAGATCTCATTTAGGACAAAAATCATGAGAGACAAGAGAGGGGAGAGCGGATCGAGAGCGGGGAAAAAGCAATCGCGAGAGCTTTCAACGGGGTAGGGAAGTAAATGAATCGCTATGAACGCGGCTGCGGGGTCAAAACCGCAGCTCGCGTTTCATATGGCTTTCCCAGAAATGCGGCTGCACTGCCCTAACCAAACGCTCCTAGTTGAGTTTTCAAGCCACACTGCCGAAAACAAGTCTCGCCAAATGGACACTTCCTCCCATTTTAGCTGTCCTCATTTTGTTTGCTTGGACTTTAGCATTAAATATTAAATGGATTCACTGTTTGGCACTAATCTTAAGCAAACTAGAAGCTTAATAAGTAAAACAACGCAAGGTAAGCTATTGATAAGATTACTCTTTATCTAAATGCTTGTCATAATTTTTTTAAATAAATAAAAAAAAAACTTAAGAGAGTATTCTTAGTAATTTTCTTTTGATGCAGCGGCTAGGAAAGAGAGGTGGTCTTTTAGGGAGTGAATTGTGGAGGTGATTTTATTCTTTTTTGGTTTTTGTTATCTTTTGGTGGGTGATCTCTCCTTCTTAGGAGGGTTGGTTAAATTTTCTTATATTCTCTTTTTTCTTTGAATTTGGTCTTAAATCTTTTCATACTTGGCAATGTCTCTCATTGCATTGAATTGATTATTTTGTTTTTCAGTTCTCAATCTTTGCTAATTTGCACTCCCATATTTTTGCCTTCTTTTGTGGAAATTTGGTCTTAAAGAGTTGTCCTTAGAAAAGTTTGCAGAAAATACTTATCTTATTGTCTAAATTTATGAGTACCTTTTGGATCAACAAATTAGATTGATTTATATTATTAGGATCCTCCTAGATCAAATTTGGCACTCTACACCTTCATCTTAGCCCTGTCATTGTAGGAGTTAGAGTTAGGTTGGATTTGTTAGAAAAGGTAGTGGCTGATAAATAACAGGCCATTCTGCAAGAATGTTAAATGTAGTTAACATACTTGGCTGCACAGCCTTATAAATCAGGATTTTGGAAAAAATGTCATTAATTTTTTGTTGAAATTATTGTGATTCTTAGAATATCTGAAAATATGTTATAAATCAAATACTAAAATAATCTTTACAAATATTTAATAAGGATGCCAAGCAATAATGTGGAAGAACAGCCATGATTTCTTGAATGAATTGTAGCATATTCATTTGAATTTCATGCAATGAAAGTACAAATATAAAACGTTTAATGAAAGAAAATAAAACTCATTAATTAGATTATGAGCCCTATTTGGGACGACTAATAATACCTATAAAATTAGTTGCGAAATATTTGTAGGAAAAATTAAGTTTACGTAGATAACACCCTCTTTTTTTTATGTATTTACATATCTAAATCTAAACTTTACTATTTTACATTTACACCATCCGAATCTTTCCTATCACATTAAAAACACCACTATTATAACTTTTAAAAGCTGAAATACACCTTTTCATGCATAGGCAAGGTGACTTACATGTAAAAATTGAATATATAAATACATAAGAATTGATGGGTATGTATGTAAATCTTCCATTTTTTTTTCTTGAAATGATAGAATAAGTGCTTTCTCATAATTTCCTTATTCTAGCATATCTGGATATATAATGCTCCTTTCTGCCACAAACATTTCCTTAAATGGGTAAAATGTTGCAGCTAAGTAGAAATGAGGCATGGTTTGTAAAATAAAGCTGCCAAAAAGCTGCTTCTCTGTTGATCTAACAGCTCTGAGTATATAAATGCCTTGAAAACAAGGTGTAAATTGTAATTTGTAGTTTGTGTTACATATAATCTTAAGCATCATAAGTTTAGCAGAAATCTGAGTAAATGCATAAACTTTGACTGATTCAAGTTTATGTTTTGTGTGGAATAATCTGCAGCTGCTTTCTTATTATATTTTCAGAAATTTATACAGTGAAAAACTATTATTTAAAAAAAAAAAAAAAGATTTGCTATTGTATGATAGCTGAACGCTGCTCTTCAACTCTTTTTTAAATAAAAATGGGGCATCTACATGCATCCCTCATTCTGATCTATTTACCCATCTAACCCCAAAACATTCATATTTACATGCATACCAATCAGATCTTAACATTGTACAAAAATAACACTAGCACTACAAAAAAACGAAATGCATAGATTTATGGCATCGTTGGTTTGTTAAGTGTAAACATCAAAATTTGGGTGTTAGATATGTAAGTACATAAGAATTGTGCGGTATGTATGTAAATTTCTCAATAAAGATATTTATAATACTTAACAAAGCTATAAATGAAGTTACTTTCTCTAAACCAGCTTTGCAAATGCTTTTACAATAAGTTACAGTCGTCCCAAACTGACCTCTAGGCTTTATTGCAGCAAATATTTTGATTTGTCATTTTGGGGTTATATAAATTAGTGTTTCTTAAGGACAAAATTTTCAATATTTTTTCAAAAATGTCTTAAAAATGCTATTTTGGGAATTCATAACATAAATGTTGGTGGAAAATTGGCTTTTTAACATTTAGGTGGTGTTTGGCTGTGACTTGGTTTTACGTTAAATAGGATTTATCATATCCTCTTCGAAGGGAATCGACGCTGCGAATGATGATGAGGGATGACCGAACAAATCCCATAAATCTGCCCCGTAAGTGGATTTAATAAATCTTGATTTACGTTGTAAATTAAATGGAATGCAAGGAACAGAGACGATACATGAGAAATTTTGATTTAACGGAACGTTGGATTTAATTTTTATTTTTTTTTATGTTTGGCTGAATTTAAGTTAAATCCATAACTAAATCCTGTAAATAGTATATATTACCAGACACCGCCTAAAAGTGTAAAATCAAGAGCAATTTCTTATGAAATTTTGAGTTAACTGGCCTCCATCAATAAGAGAGCAAGCTTGACATTTTTGCAGGAGAAGCTCCATGACTATTTGCGCAGCGAGGGCGAGAGGCTGCGGCAGCTGGATAGAGCCAACATATCAGCTGAGAAGCATGCCTAGATGATTTCAGAGGAAAAAGGCAGTAGAGGAGCATTCCACTTATGTATTTTTTACATCCAAGCCCACTGTTTTAATAAATTGTCACAAAGTTTAAGTTTTTATTCTGTGAAAACTTTTGAGGCTGTTCTGCACATCTGTTCTGTTCTTTCTTTTATGCTTTTTTGCTGTCATAAATGGAGATTATTGGGCTCCTTCACACAAATAGACTTGTTGCATCTTTCATCTTTTGATGTAAACTATAATCAATAGCTTTGCCACACAATTCTTGTGTATTTACATATCTAACACCCAAGATTTTATTTTTACAGTTGTGTCATCTTGGTGTTATGAATTTATGCATGAAAATAGGTATTTCACTTTTAAAAACTTTGTGATGTTGATAGTTTTGATGTGATGCTAAAAATTTGAGTGGGTATGTATGTAAATATGTTTCTTTAGGTGTTAGTTATGTAAATTTATTATTATTTTAAATAAAAATAAATATATAAAAAATGTCTATTTTTAATGTGAAATCGATATTTGGTCGAGTGGGCACCAAATATCGATTCTCTCGTTGAAAATCATAGTGTGCTTGCTTCTGATTCGAAGAGTCCGCATCACGAAACTCGAACCCATAACCCAAGGGATTTGCGTTAGAGGCGGCACTAATGAGTTCGGTCATTCGCACATATAAAAAATATATATCCATATAAAAAATATCATAATTTTAAAATTTAAAAGCTAAAATATATCATGTCATATATAGGTAAAATGAAATTTATGTAAAAATTGAAGTTTAAATTTTATATGCATAAATTGAGTGGTGTCTATGTAAATCTTTCAATATACAAATGAGCTTGTGTGCGCTTCAGAAATATATTACTTTATGGTGTGATAAAATTATTTCTAAAGTATATCAATAATTTCAAGAATTAGGATGCAAAAGGATAGAGGCATTGAAAATTTCTTATACATTTATATGTCTAATATTTTAAAATTGATATTTATATTTATAACATTTTGGTATCATAAACATATATATGTTATGCATGCTGGAAGATCAGAAACTATCATGCACTCAAGTAGTTAAAGACAAGTAGTGAGAGAGACTTGAACTTTTATGTGGAAAACTCTAAAAGAGGAAAAAACTCATAAGAACTAACTCAGTTGAAATAATCCATCATAAATGATGATTACACTGGTCTACCATTCTCTTTAGTTAGGGAGCTGAAGCGACAAAGATGATCATTGTAAATGTACAATATTGGTTCATCAAATTAAGATTTCTTAAAGAAAAATCTTATTAAATCAAAAGTTCTAATAATTTCTTTTAAAATGAATTCTCTTTAAGAATTTCCTCTTTAAGAAATTATCTCTTTAAGATAATTAAAAAATCAATTAAGATTAGTTAAACCTTTAAAATATTTTCTACTACTTAAAACTACTTCTAAATCAATCTTAAGTTTAAAAGGGATCCTTCTTTAAAAATCAAACTTAATTTGTTTTCAAAAGAAAATCTTTTTAAAACCCCTGAACTTTATATATATAAACTTGTCAGGCTCCCTTTCACTTTCTTAGCCTAGGTAAAACTTATATTCACCTGATTGAGTGATTACATAATGAATACATTTCTCTCCAGAAACATACGATTTTGTAGCCTCAAAATTTTGAGTATATAAGTATTGGGTTATCTTGATTTAAATAACTAATAAGAAGATAAACATATATTCTCTGATACTTTTAGAATGACAATTATCTTTAAGAAAAATCTAAATATTTTTGTATGAAAGGAATATTATTATGATTTTTATTATGTTTATGAGAATATAAGTGAATTTCTATTATGAGAACCTTAAATTAAGATGCTTAGTCTCAGTCTTCATAATATACCATCTCGACTGCAATTGAAACCTGGGGTGGGAGAATAAAATTTTTGGAAGAAAACATACCTATATGGTAGAAAAAAAATAATACCATCTCGACCAGAACCTCACTTGAATGAAAAAATAACTAAATAATATCTATAAAATCTTGATTTGTCATCATAATTGATGATTTCTAGGAGAAAATAATTCACTGATAATTATCAAACCCCAAAAATAATTAAAAATAACAAACTCTAATTTTTATAACCACGCCTTAGGATAGTTCCAAACTATGCCCCTAGTCTAGCAAACGTAGACAAAAACCTGAGGCCATACACATAACCTTTATTAGTCCATTATAGAAGTTCTAGGTTAGTTACTAGTTTCCCCCGTAGATTAGAGCTATGAACTTGGACTTATAAAACAAATTGACTCGCCCTCGAAGACTATGAGTAACCTAGAATGAAATAGCCTATCCTACAAAATAAGATACTCACAACCACTTTTATAGCGGGATGAACCATCTTAAGTCATTGCTATGACAATAAGGGAAAACTCCTATTATTTTAGTGGTTAATAGCTCGAGGATACCAATGTACCCTAGATCATGGAAAGTCATGGGCATCTTGACCTGGTGCGTTATTCCTAAATTTAGGCTAGGTTGCATATAATTTCCTATTTAGAGATATTTTAGGTTAGGGCTTCACCTCCATCTAGAAATATTTTATCCCTTTCTTACTCTTTAGACTAGAATATTTCTTAAATCAATTCATCCTAATTAAATTAAACTTAACTCAATCAATCTATACTCAATCAAAATCTAACCCTTTCCAATTCCAACTTAATTAAATCCTAAATCAATTTCAAACCCAACCTGATTTCAATTCGATTCTTTTTAACCTATCTCTAGCCAATTATAATCCAAACTTTAAACAATTTAATCCAAACCAAATCCAATTCAATCCTAAATAAATCTCAATCTTAATTCAAACTTATTCAAAATCCAAATCCAATTTGTTCTACAAATCTAATCTATTGATTCAAGTTGTGTACCATTCCAACTGTTAATTGTTGGGCTCAACCCGAAAGGTTAAAATTTTTTGAAGTTCAAATGAAGTCAACTTGTGTCCAGAATTAACTCTTTTATCAAAGTCTTCAAACCCTATTATTCAATAGACATCCATTAATGAATAAGAAAGATATAAGACATATGTTTAATCTAGAGTTTTGTCAAGAGTAATTATTGGAATATAATTAAAATAAACCTTAGCTTACGCTTACCAGGTAAGAGAAGAATTTTGGTTATGCAAATCCATAAATTTCGAAGATTTTACTTATCCAAATGATTGGAACCATTCTAATGTAATATCTATATCTTTTGAGATTTTATATAATTCTTTGAATGTCATATATGATCATTTCGATAGAAGTCTTTTGAGATATATGGTAGTTATCATTAATAAAAAAAATCTCACCAGCCCTGTGGTGACCAGATTTGGCGGCTGACGTTAGCCGATGACTGCATGAGCAAGAGCATGACGGTGGTAGGCAGATGCAGGTGTAAGAGGTTGACAATGGGCAGTGACAACTGTCGGAGGAGGCGATGTCAGAAGCGGCGAGGTCGAAGGCGGTAGTAACCAGAGTTGGCTGGATTTGCGGTGCATGATGCTGGGCTATAACTCCCACTTTTGTAAGTTTAGTCTTCCTCTTGCCCAGAGTTTAACCCCTTCTCATGAGGGGGTAGAGCTTTATTTATAGAATATGGGTTGCAAAGAAGGAATGAATTAAGACCACTCTTGATCAAACGACTCAAAAAGATTCCCTCAATTAGACGGCGCACGATTGACATTTCAGTGTCTTAATGATGTTGAAATTGAGTGATCTTGAACTTGTTGGATTAGTTTTGCCAATACACTGGATTTAACTATAAACATGCCATATTCAAAATTTATATTTGACCTTCCAATTATGCTAAAAAAACTTCTAAAAGCGGTTTACCAGCTTGATCTATGTTTGATTGATTAAAAGTGGACTGATTTTGGTATCGTTTAAGTCCGTGTCAACGAACATGTCAGTTTGACTGTAAATTTGTTAAAATCGGTGTTCTGGACGATTTTTAATCAAAAGTTATAATTTTTCTTGCCCAAAAAATAATCTCCATATCCGTGCTTGCCTCAAGATTTTGCCGGAGAATGAAAATTAGCCGATGACATATCAATATGAATAAAAGTTATCTTGCTTATAAGAAGCAAGTAATGATGTTATTTTTATATAATATCTAAAAATTGAGTGTTCTAATATCTAAAAACTAAGTGTTAATGGCCGATTTGAGAAGTCAATATAGCTTAAATTGTTTTTTTTTTAAGATAAAGCAACATCTCCCAAAATTATTTTAATAGAAGGATAAATTTTCATAGTTGTTGATTACAGATGTGCGATTGTTCTACATTCCTGACTTTAAAAGAGCTCTAGTGAATGACAAAACTCCTTCAAATAAGCCCTTTAATAGGTGAGGATCTTTAAAGGTATAATTAAGATCTTGGGTTATGATATGATTTATAAGCTTAAATACTTTAGATTTAGAGGAACAATAAGAATCAACACGAAATCCCAATAAATTTAAGAATTTATGTTAGCGGAACTTCCTTAAATTTCAAAAACAATTCGACATACTGAAACTTTTTGATAGATTATGTGAGCATTTAAGAAGTTTGTTCCGTTTGTTATAATAAAAAATCATAATTAAAATTTAATTATTTTATTATTATGATAAAAATTTATTAATTAATTTAATTAAAATTTTATTTCTGATTATACTAATTAACAAGTAATTATTTAATAAACAAAGTATGTTGAATGGGGATTTATATGAAATACAGGGTTAAAATTCTGCCACCAAGCACCCCCTTCTTCTCGAAAAATTATTCCATGCGGATCGGCGTCCGCACGCAGCTTGCGTGCGGACGCCGAGACCGTAAATCACATGATTTACGGTCCGGATGTATTTCGGTGGGCCCCACCTAAAATTTTTTATTTTTTTTTTAAAAAAACGGAAATAATCCTGACCGTAGATCACCGTGATCTACGGCCAGGATCGAACACCGCATGCAGAGATGCATGCGGTGTCCGCATCTCTGCATGCGGTGTCCGCACGCAATAATCTCTCCTTCTTCTCCTTCCGCACAGCTCCTACCTGAAACCCTAAACCCTAAAGTCTGGAACTTCATATCTTGCTTTTCGCGCGAATTGCCCGTCCCAGATTTACCAAGTCAGGTGATTCACAGGATTTAGTAAATCGGAATTACGGCCGAAATCAGTAAAGTATTGACCGTCTGGCAGGATTTAGGTCAAGTCCAGGTTAAATCCTGCTCTAATCCTACCAGACAGCCGCCCCTCAAAGTAACTCGCAAAGCCTGCCTAGAAAGCTCATCTCTGGCAATCCCCGGTCTGCACGGCCTCTGTTCTTTGGAGACCCACAGGTAGTCAGCCACGCATTTTACAGCCAGAGCAACATTTAATCCTCCTCTCATTTCTAGCCCCTCATGCTCAATCTGGTCCCTTTTTTTTCCCACGAATTTCAAGGCTCGTTGGTTTAGGACCTACTAAAATTATGGTTTTTGTGGATCGTTACTCGGTGTGGACTCGCTGGGATGTATATTTCGTACCAAAGATATGATTTTTGCATTTATTTCAAGTTGAGAATCTTTGTTTTCAGGTTAATTTTTGTCGGCTGCATAAATTATATCCTTTGCCATGAAAGATGAAAGTTTCATCACACCATTCTTTGTTTTTGAGAACAAAGAGGCGATCTTTCAGATGGAAATTCTTAGGCTCTGTCGTCGAAGGTGCATCAATACGCGGCCTCCATAGCGTAGAGCATTTTGCCAGCACTTTCCGAACTTGTGAAGATATCAGATTTCTCAGAAAGCTTCATGGAAGCATTCTTTCTCATGGGCTGGGCGAAAACATATTTCTGGGATCTAAATTATTGAACTGCTATGCAAACTTTGGAGGATTATGTGAGTCAAGGTTAGTGTTTGCTAAGATCGTTAACAGAAATCTTTCGCTCTGGAACTCTGCCATTGTTGGGTATCACAGAGCTGGCCAGTTTTCCGAAGTTCTTTTCTTATATAAAAATTTAAAATTTAATGGGCTTGGATTTGATAGTTCAACCATAACATTTAGTTTGAAGGGTAGCACTGAGCTTGGTAGTTTGGAAATTGGACAATCCATCCATGTTGATGCTCTCAAAACCGGTTTAAACACAGATAAGTTTGTTGGTTCTTCTTTGGTTGGATTATACTCCAGATGTGGACTAACTGATGATGGTCATGAGGCCTTTGAGGAGATCTTTGATAAGGATATCATTGCCTATACCGCCATGGTTACTGGCTATGCTCGCCTTCCTGCTAAAATGGCTTTCAGAATTGCTTCTGTTATGCAGAGAGAAGGTTTATCTGCGAATCGTGTAACATTAGTTAGCCTGCTGCAGGTAGCAGGACAACTAGAAGAGCTTAGAAAAGGTCAAGCAATTCACTGCTATGCTTTGAGGAGAGGGATTGATCCATCAGATGAAGCTCTGCAAACCGCCATTATCGACATGTATGCTAGGTGCGGAGCTTTGCTTTCAGCTTCATCCTTGTTGGGGCGAACGGAAAGAACCTGCCTTGCTTCATGGAATGCCATGATTTCTGGCCTCATTCAGTGGGGAAAGAGTGACGAGGCATTGCAGATTTTCAAAACTTTTGAGAAAGAATCAAAATTTATCCCTGATTCGATCACCTTATCGAACATACTTGCCGCATGCGCCGATACCGGGTGTCTTCATCAAGTCAGAGATGTCCATTGTTACCTTTTAAGAAGATTAATTTCACCTGATTTAGTTGTCGTCACTTCCCTTGTCAATTTGTACTCCGAATGTGGCAAAATACAGTATGCACGGAAGTTGTTTGATGAAATGTTAGTAAGAGACACCGTATTGTATAATGTTATTCTCTCTGGATATCTACATGCCAAAAAGATCGATGTCGCGATTACTTTGTTTAAGAGAATGTTTGAAGAAGGTATCGATCCTAATTTCATGACGATGGTGAGTTTTCTTTCCACATTCTCTGATATAAGTTACATTAAACTTGGCAAGTGGGTGCATGGATTCATATTAAGATATGGTTTCGATTCAATTTTAGATGTTGTTAACATGATTCTTCACATGTATGTTGAATGGGGATTTATTAATACCGCAAACATCATTTTTGAATCTATGTTGAAGAAAGATTTAGTTTCGTGGACAATAATGATGATGAATTATGCCGACCAAGGTCATGTAGATAAGGTTCTTACGTTGTTTCAACTAATGCTGCGAGCGCGAGAAAAGCCTGATTCTGTCATTCTTATCACATTACTCAAAGCACATATGGAACTCGGAGGAGTGCTAAAAGTGAAGGAAATCCATGGCTATATCTATCGAATTCTTCTAAACAAAGACATCGCGACCATGAATTCCGTCATCATCGCTTACGCAAAATGTGGAAGGTTAGATATGGCCGGCGCTGTATTTGATTGTATCAGGAACAAAAATGTGACCTCATGGAACACAATGATTGCTTGTTACGGTGTTCACGGATGCGCCGACAAGGTCTTAAAGCTATTCTATGAAATGCAAGAGCAAAACCTAAGCCCCGACGGGATGACGTACACGTCGGTGCTCTCTGCGTGCAGCCATTGTGGGCTGGTCGAAGAAGGTTGGCGCGTGTTCAAAATCCTGAATGCGGATGATTCCATTTCGCCCTCAGAAGAGCATTATAACTGCATGGTGGATTTGCTGGGTAGGGCGGGTCAACTCGAAGAAGCTTATGACTTGGTTAAGAAGTTTTCATTGAACGAGAGGATCAATGCACTGTGTGCTTTGCTTAGTGCTTGTAAATTTCATAAAAATATGAAAATTGGAGAGGTTGTTTGCAAGGAAATTTTGGAGATACAACCCCATAATCCAGGTATTTATTCATTGGTCTCCAACTTATATTCTGAGGCTAGTATGTGGAACAATGCCACAAGTCTGAGAAAGAAGGCTAGAAGGAAAGGTTTGAGGAAAACTCCGGGTTTTAGCGTACTAAACATGGATGAATATATGGTGGGGATTTGAATGGAATTACTGAAACTTCTCCAAGCATCATTTCGGAGGAAGCAGTGCAAGCTTGAGTTCATCAAAAGTTTCTTCTGTGTTGCTTAAGGGTTCATTCAACACATTAATATAATTTGGAAGGAGATGTAAGCTTCCCTTAGCTTAACTTTTCCTTTTTCTTTTTTCTTTTTACTGAAAACAGCTCATCCCTTGCGGTTTTGCTCTGGAGCCTGTTGTAAATTTGGCCAAATTCACTAATCTCGGCTTTCAACTCAACATTTTTATAATGGGGCATTTACATACATACCACCCAATTCCTATCTATTTACATATCTAACAGCTAAACTTTATTTTTAACATTAATGCCACCCAAAACTTTCATCACATAAAAAATGTCACCTTTTCAACTTTTTAAGTAGTGAAATACACTTTTTACATGCATAGACAATGTGGCATGCATGTAAAAACTGAAGTTTGGGTATCAGATATGTAAATACATAAGAAGTGAATGGTTTGTATGTAAATCTTTCTTTTATAATCTGTATTGTTATATGTTCAATCACACTATTCTAAGTGCTATATTATGCAATAATACAGAGAGGTTTGTTTTTTTTTTCCTTTTTTTTCAAAAGGAATGGCCTGAGGCTATTATACGAGCCTCGACCATTCCCAATGTGCCTAACAATTCAAGTACCACACCCTCCACCGGGAGGAATCGAGGGGAACCGAGGGGAATCAAACCCCAGACCAGAGGGGACTTACAACTGACAAGCAGATGCTCGACCAACTGATCTGAGTACACGGTGCATGATACAGAGAGGTTAACCATAGATGGTTTTGGTAAAGCTAGATACTTTGAGGCTAAGAATGTGGTGGTTAAGGTTCATGTCTATGGTTCGAAAGATGATGGAGCTGATGATTGACAGGTAATCCAACCACCTTTAGCATATTCTAAATACTTAACATTTTGCTTTGATTACCTGACTTATCTACTGATATCTTTTGCTCTTTAACACCATTAGAGACAGCTGGTGGAGGAGCAAGCCGGGTGCAGTAATGTGAGAAGCTAATCTTTCAGTAATGTGAGTACAGTACCCATCAAATCACATATTTGCATGTTTGCTTCTTGTTTTTACTTCAAACATGATAAATTTCAGATTTTTATGGATGATAAATTTCAGATTTTTATGGAAGAACAGAAATAATTAAAGAATTTGCATGTTTTTTAGCTGAGAAATTAGACCTTTACTTTCGTTTCATGCAATTATTTGATTGTAGAAAACCTGAAAATTTAGGATTAATCACTTGAAATTCAAGATTTTCAACAGTTTCTCAGCCTTTACCATTTCCTTCTTAGGGAGTTGTGTTCTTAATATAATTAAGTGATGTTATGAAGGAAATTCTCGTTAAGGGGCTGTTTGGTTTGCTGAAAGTGAAATGCAATGAAATGAATTTCTCATTAACCAGCTTGTCTATATCATTTTACATGAACCGTGTAATTCAAATTCGGCCAAATCGGCCCAATTCTAAACTTTGACAAAACTACGTTGTAAACTACGTAAACCTCAACACATATTTTTTATTTTTACCAAATTCTCAATGGTTTGATTGTGGCACGCACAAATGCATTGGTTTCTTTTTTCAAAAAAAATCACCTGGGTGCTGAATTTATAAATATCAATGTTTCGGGTGTTTTATATGCAATTGTCCCAATAAATTAATATGTAGATACTAGTTAATTTCTTAGAAAAAAATGTTATGAGTTTGTTCACTGAATATTTGTAAATATGATTTTTGGGATATTTGCATGCAAACCACACAATTCTTATGTATTTACATATATAACACCGAAAGTTTGATGTTTATACTTGTACCATGTTGTTGTCATAAACCTTCGCATAAAAGATGCATTTCACTTTTGAAAAAGGTTGTGATATCTTTAATATCGTGTTATAAAGATTTGAGTTGTATGGATATAAATATGAATGTTTAGGTGTTAGGTATGTTTTGTGTGGTATATTTGTAAATACCCCTTGATTTTTTTATTAGCGATTGAAATTTAAATTTTTATATTACATAAGTACTGCTCAAATCTTTACAATTATATAAAAATATCAATATTACTAACTTGTTAATGGTGAAATACATCATTTTATGTATATACTCACAACTATAGTGTTATAAATGTAAATATCAAATTTTAGGTGTTCGATTTCTACATACTTATGAATTGTGTGGTATGTATGCATGCAAATTTCTCTTAAATAAAATAAGGAAGATTTACATGCATTACCACTCAATTATTATGTCTTTACATATCTAACATGTAAACATCAATTTTTGCAAATATGACATCTTATATATGCATGAAAATTGTATTCTTACTAGAAAATGGCCCCGGCCGGATCAACGTTCAGTTGCGTGAAGGGACGCGGACTATGGATGGCTCACGAAGCTGCATCTTCGCCTTTTTTGGGTGCCCATTTGTCCAGGACACCATCCCCACCCGCTCATGGCTTTGCCAAGCGGGGCCTCACGGACAACATGGCTTGCCCTTGGGGCTGCGCCGATACCGAAGACCGCGACCATCTTGTTTCTAAATGCTTGTTGTTTTGTAAGGTTAATGTGATCCTGATGTCTTGGGGGATTCCTGACCGGCGTTCAACAATTTTCAGGATGTTGTTGGTCTCAGCACCATCCGGAAATGCAGCATTGTTGAAGCCCAATATTATTGCTATGTGATCCACCATTGCTGGCAAGCTCGCAACGCTAACATTCATGATCGTCTCTATGGTACTCTGCTCTTACCAAAAACATCTTTTGATCCATTTCGGGGGCAAAGAGATGCTAACCAATCCATTGGGTTGGTCACGCCTTCTTTCTGGAAAAAAATATTACATTAGTATTACGCACGTAAAAATAACGTGCGTAGCCAATCAAATCACGCCACGACATCTCACGCGACAGAGCAAAAAAAAAACAGCGCAGTAACACGGGGAATATTCCCCCAATGTTATTCATGTGTATTGCGTGTTATTCATGTGTTATTGCGTGTTATTCATGTGTTATTGATGTGTTATTGTGTTATTATAACACCAAGAATATTCTCAGGACACAATAACACATGAATAACACATAATAATACTTGAATAACACGAAAAATATTCCCGACAGAGAGAAAAAACGGCGCAGTAACACGTGAGAATATTCTCTCCCGTGTTATTCTTGTGTTATTGTGTGTTATTCATGTGTTATTGTGTTATTATAACACCAGGAATATTGTCAGGACACAATAACACATGAATAACACACAATAACACATGAATAACACGGGGGAAAATATTTCCCGTGTTACTGCGCCGTTTTTTTCTCTGTTTCTCTGTTGTGCGGGGTGTCGTGGCATGATTTCATTGGCTACGCACGTTACTTTACGTGCATAGTACTGATGTAATATTTTCGTGTGGATAATAATGGATGTTGACAGTGCACTTTTACCAACTAGAATTGGGGAAATTCGTGATGAAAGCGTCATAGACATTATGGCTATGGGACAGTATTTCGGGTGCTGGGATGACTCAAAGGGGGAGCTTATGGCGGTTCGATTTCTCTAAAATATTTGTCAACCGTGGATGTTTGATCTCAAAGGCGTGATAGTTGAAGGGGATAACACGAACATCATCCAACTTTTGAGCTCTCCTCCCGCACCTTGCAACCGAGTTTGCCTTCCTTTTGTCTATACGACTGGAGAAGTCCACACATTCTTGTGCTAAGCGCGACTTTAGTGATTCTTTTGTTTTATTGCATGTAGATGACGATAGAGAACTATCTATCATATTTGTAGATGAAAGTCTTCGTCCTGCACATTTCGTCTTGTACATCACAGATGTATACATGCATAATTTTTTGAATTTATTTGATATTTTAATACAAATGCATGTGTATTTCATTTATTAAATATTAAAAGTGGTAATAATAATAACAAAAAAGAATTGTAATGCTGCGACAGCTCACGTGAATGCACGAGGAAGGCTTCAGCGTGGGCACGTCAGAGTTGGTGGATTCCTTCAAAGCAAACTCTTAAATATTTTTATATATTATACTGTTCTTGATATATTATGCTTTTTTTTAGAGAAAATTATTATTTGTATTTTTTTTAATGAATTATGAGTTTATGACAATTGTATGGGGATTTATTTGTATGTATGATCGACTTCTTATTTGTGTATATATATATATATATATGTGTGTGTGTGTGAGAGAGATATATATATATATGCATTTAGGCCGGTCTGTCCCCTTAGGTTGGAGGTTTAAATCCCCTCCGCCACAATTGATCTTATTAAGAATGTGATACTCGCACATTTGAGGTGACCAAAGGCTTGTAGAATAGCATATGGCGGCGCGTATGCGTGTCTATGTATATATATATACTCTTTCTAAAACAAATCCAAGACCTTAATCTATTTGTCATACAAATCTAGCAAGTTCCATGCCACCAGATCTACATTTTTTATGAAATTTTTATAAAAAAAATCATCAACAAGTATTAAATTAAACTAAATACTTCATTCATCATCAACACGTATTAAATTAAACTAAACCACACCATTTAATTATTAAACACAACCATTTAAACTCACTTCCTCAAAACAAACACACACATCATCACATATTTTAAACCAGAGTACAGGACGACGGAGCTCAAGGGCATTTGGGGCGGCGGCGCCGCCCTTCGCCGGTGAACTTGTCCCGGTAACAAGGGCACTCATCCTTGTTCCCGTAGGTACCGGAGGGCACGCATTTGCATTCCGCACAGCAGATCCCACAGTCCCTGAGGCACCTGTCCTGCATTCCAGCTTTACTGCACCTCGTATTGCATTTATCATCGCAGAATGCTGCAAAGAGATTTAAATATATATAATGGATGATTAATCTTTTTAAATATATGGCTTTAAAAAACAGATTTTTACTGTGAATTATGTCGCTTGAAACAGATTCACAGCAGCAGTAAATTCAGTATTTGATGAAGCTTTAATGTAAAAATAGGATTTTATTTTATGATATGTGATTTGAAAATTATCTTAGAAGCAGGGTTTGGTTAGGGATATGTTTGAAAAGATGATTGATTGAAAGAAAATGTGAACTTTAGAAGGTAAAAAACGGATTTTTACAATAAATCTCGATTTCAGAAAACATCCTCATTGCAGTAGCAAATTCAGTACTTCTTTCAGCTAGATGAAGCTATGCTGTAAAAATAGCACTTTTTATGATGAGAACGATGTTAGAAGCAGGGCTGGTTAGCGAAATGTTTGAAAAGATGATTGATTTATGAAAAAAATGTGGACTTTAGAAGATTAAAAATGGATTTTTACAGCAAATCTCGCTTGAAACAGCCTCACCGCATACTTTCTTTAGCTAAATGAAGCTTCAAAGTAAAAATAGCATTTTTTAAATTTTTTTATGATATGAAACTTGAAAATGTTGTTAAAAGCATGTTTAGTTAGCGAAATGTTTGGAAAGATGAATACTTTATGAAAAAAAATGTGAACTTCAAAAATTTGTTGTGGTAAAAATGCGTTTTTGGAGGGTAGATGGATCTGCTGAGTGCTTACCAGCCTGAGCTGAGGCCATCTGCTGGAAATAGGGAGCCAGAAGCAGAACTATAATTAGGAGAAGGTAGGAGAAAAACTTGTTGGCTGAGAGCTTCATTGTGGATCTGAAGGGACGACAATGTAGGTTGGGGACTCAGAGATGGAGCGCATTTTATAGCAAGGGGAAGGGGGTGATGCATTTCGTCGGTGTAGCCATATGTGTAGCTTAGATTACTTTAATTTTAATATTACCCTTAAGGGGGTTTGCATGCGATGCACCAAATTCTTATATAATTATATATTTTACATCTAAACCTTTCTTACATTTATGCAAATTAAAATTTTTATATCACAATAAAAACATCATATTTTTATTTTAAAATTCACTTTTTAAATATATATATATAT